CGTTCGCATCATTCTACCCCTCCTATATTTACTATAGAATCAGTGGATTTCTGAGAATTACGGATCTTGAGCAAATCTTGAGCAAGTCATGGGTAAGTCTTTGTTGTGAGTTTCTGGTACAAAAAATGCGTAAGAAAGTTTTTCAATGCACCTTGCTTTAGACTTGTCTCATATTCTTGCACAAGATGTCTTGAGCTAGTTACATATAAATCTTGAACCATGTCTTTTTAAATAAACTTGAGCGAGACCCATATGTAGATAAAGACACTAGCAACTAGGGGTTTTGCTCAAGACGCTGGCACCAAAATCTTACTCAAGCACATGTTACTTGGGCTTATGTGCATGCAAATATAAAAAAGGCCATTCGACAGCCGAAATGGAAGTAGATTTTTCAAATAAAGAAAATTGATTTTTAATAGAATAATATAATAACACTAACAATGGATAACCCTGTTGAAATAATCCCATAGATTCCAATAAAAAAAAAGCGTATGAGAACCTGATGTGTATTTTTCGCTGCAAATCCATATACATATTCATGCTAAATCTGTCAATAATTGCTAATATAACCTTTCTTTAATCATCTTGTTTGAATTCAATTGATTTATTGTTGTTTTTTTTTTGTTATAGGGAAACCGCAAGGTTATTAACCGGGAAAAACACCAAAAAAAATAAAAATCAGGATAAAACTTGTGATATATTAAATAAGGATGATAACCCTACACTGTTAAAAATTTCTATTGTATTTTTACAAAAAATGTCTTGGAAGTAATTACGCACCACGATTTAGTAATTTTAAAACTCAGTTTCGTAAATTTACAATATTATTTATTGTAATTTAATATAAGAAAATTACAACATATTTGTTGAAATTTACTAAACTTTTACTGAAAAAAAGTTTAGTAAAATTCCTAACACGTTTTGTAATTTTACTTATCAAATGATACCCAAGATGTTTAGTAATTTTAGAATGAAGTATTGTACTTATACTATGCATTCATTCCATCCTATCTAGGCTTGCAACAAGTAGGCTTTGCATCGTCTCATACGATTACCAATAACGAAAATTCAGAATAAGATGATTTATATAGCTATAAAAGCATTATCATGCTCAGAATATAATATAAAAAGGAAAAAAACCTATGTGCTACTCTTTCTATAATTGTTCTACTTAAAATTAGTCTTGTAATTTTTTTTAATTGTTTTTCTACTCTAAAAAATTAGAAAAAAAAAAAAAAACAAACATTCTTATTGCTTGCAAAAATTTTTTTACGTGGTCTTTAAAAGTCTTTTTAAGTCTTTCAAATTTCTGCCAATTCGCAGAAAAAAAACGACCTATATAGAGTTTAAAAGACTTTTTTAGACTTTCTTAGACTTTCTTAGAATTTTAAACTAAAGATAACTCTTTTAATAGTCTAATTTACTCTTTAATATAATTTTTTCGACTTTTTTTTCCGTGACCATTTCCACAAGGGTCTGGCGACTCTGTCCAAAACATCTGAACTCTGGACTGAAGATCGTAGAAATTAGTGCTTTTATATCTGCAGGATTGTTCAATGATGGATTTAACTTTATCTTACGAGTTATGAACTCAATGCAAATAGTTATTGGCCGCCAATGCATGTCGTACAGAGAAAAAATCGATGATCAAAGGGTGAGTCGAGAAAATCGCCGCAGCTCTTTGACGACCAAACAAACTCGTCAAGCATGTCTACAGGAACTTACAAAGAAAAACGAGTTTTATGAACGTACCGAAGGACTTCTATATGGCCCTGGAATCGCTGATTAATCGGTAAGCCACTGTAATCATACTGTTTCTGTGTGTCAAAACTTTAAACGCGTTTTTCTCGAAACGACTTTTTTGAAATTTGCGGGCGGGATAACTCAAAAAGTTCTCAACCGATTCTAATGAAATTTTTTACATGTGTATTTTATAGTAATAGCTTCTAGTTAAACCTCAAAAATTCCAAAAAAAATTTTCAAAAATTAACCATTTTTACCAAAAAACCATTGAAAAAAAAGGGTAAAAAATCGAACTTTTTTTTCTAAGGTGTGCCAATTTACGATTTTTTGACTTTTTTTGAGTTTTTGTGGTTTAACTAGAAGATATATGTTTTATGAACACGTACAAACTAATTTTTTTAATTTCAGATCACCGTACGAGAAGTGAGAACGCCCGCAAACTGATGTCTTTTTCTGAGAGGGTCTCGGCAGATTCATTTTTACGGCGGCCATTTTGAAAAAAAAAATAAAAAAAAAAATTTTTTTCTGTACTTGAATATGTAATAAATAACCCCACAAAATTTTAAAATGATTCAGTTATTCCTTCCCAGTTTATAAAGTCCTCAAAAAACGGTAAAAATTAAGGCGTTTACATGTATCGCCGGCCTTAAGAGATTTTTTGAAAAAATATTTTTTTTGAAATTTTTCGTTTTCGATATCTCACGTACGAATCAACCGATTTTGATCAGTCCAACGGTGATTGACGTGGTTTTTCAAGGTTAAGAGCTGATTAGTTTTTGAAATTGATCGGTGAAGCCATTTAAGAGATTGTTTGAAAAAATATGTTTTTTGAAATTTTTCGTTTTTTTTCAGCCTGGAGAGTAATGCGGCGATGGACCGACTTTGGGGAAACCACGCATTCGCCTGTGCCCCACCGGTAGCACAGGAGGGCTTGAGGAAACCATCGAAAACCCAAACCTGTACAGCCCGGCGTAAGTTACGAGTACCGATGTTCACTGAAAATTAAATTTCAGCTCACACCGGGATTCGAACTCACGCCTCACCAGTCCCAAGCAAGCACTACAAGCGTTGTACCGCTTAGCCATGGGACTGGCTTTCATTAACTAATTTAATGTCGTGGTCTTAATAATACAACAATTAAATATTTAATATCAAGAGGTCTTCGTATCTTGTATTAATAGATTAAAATCTATTGACAGAGGTCTTAATAATCAGCTAACAATGTATTTGTTACTTCCGAGATTTACAAAATTAATTTACTGAATTTACTTAATTTATTTCATGAGTTGTTTCGTTAAATTATTTTACTTCGTATAATTTATTTTACCAGAATTTATCAGTTTATTTCTCCAAGTTATTTTAATTCAGTTTACCAGTATCTCTTAAATTATTTATTTAATTGTTTTCCGAATATTCAGAATTTTGTCCAGATTATTTTATTTAAGAGCGGTTTATAGAAAATTTTGTCGATAATTTACTTACCGACATTTCTTAAATTTTTTCATTTTCATTTGAATTTCAAACTGAAAGTAAATATAGAAAATCTTGTCAGAAATGAATGAAAACTTACATACATACCATTCATACAATTGTCTATCGAAGAGCTAAGCGATTTTGCTAATAGAAAATAGAAAAAAAAAAGAAATCTTTGGAAATTTATCAACATTTCGCGGGCTAAATTTGTACGCACTAATATGGATTTTTAACAGTCAAAGAGCGTGTTCAGCCGAACTAAGTCCTGAGTAAACTTAGTAAGATATGTATAGTATAGTAGATAGATATATGTATAGCAGGGAATGCTTTGACTATACTTAGGCTAACTAAGTTTACTCAGGACTTAGTTCGGCTGAACACGCTCAAAGATCCTTTATGTGAAAAAAAAAGTTTAGTACTTCGATGCGCAGGATCAAATTACATCAATTTAATCCAGATAAATTTTTTTTTATCTTATTTACATATAAGTATTTTCATATAAGAGCTTAATTTGTTATCAACTAAAATTCATCAATTGATTTTATATATTTTTACTTTTACTAAACTGTTTTATTTTGTCCTTCAATAATCGAGTTTTATTTTCTCTATATTATTTCATTTTACTGGCTATTGCGTTGCATGAAAAACTTAGCGTTTATTTTATTTTATTTGAAGATTATATTCTGCCTAGCAATACAGTAAGACTTTAGTCTCGACCTTGAATGTCCTCTACTCAGCGCTTCGCGCGGGACAAGATGGCTGACGCTTTCGCTCGGCCTGGCGTCTTTGTCGCTCGACTCCGGTATCGTTTTTTTTAAACGAATTTTTACAAATTTCGTTTTCTACTTTTAATTAATAAATTTACCTTAACAATTTTCTAGCAATTTTGACTGATTCTAAATTTATTGCAAATGATTTTATTTTAAACAATTAAATTTTATTATGAGAAGTAGAATTATTCTACTGGTTTTAATTACTTTAACTTCAAATGATTTTACTGAAATTTCTCTAAAACATTTTACTGATTTTACTATATGCAATTAATTAAATAAATCTAACCAAACTCGATTATCAACGACAATTTGTTTTACATGGCACCGAAGTCATAAATTGACCAACCGAAATTATTCCTGGTAAAGTCAATCTAAACTCTGCCTACGTAGTAAATTAACAATCCGAAATAATTCCTGGTTTTGTTAATTTAATAACCTTTAGTAATTATTCTTGACTTGTTCTTAACTTTATTCTTAATTTCATTCTGGTTTTTATTCTGGACTTTTCTTAATTTTCTTAAATAAATTCTTGATAAATGACATCTTAACGAATATTCTAAATAATATCTTTAATACTTTAAATAATATCCCAAATAATATTCCGAGTAAATTCTAATAAATAAATTTCAATATAATAATTAAGTAAATTCTACGACGTAATGCTTAATCTAATGATTGTGACCGAACACGAAATGGCGATGACCTTCAGCCGACTTCAATGCCTGGCTGATGCCGCACCACCGAGAGATTATTGAGACATGGTATTTATACCTGGAGTTTTTATAATTTTAATTGCGCACTCCTCTGATGAACTGCGAGCTCCTCGTCTTGATGCTGGTACCAAGATCTCCTCGGTGAGCTATTTGAATTGGCGGCAAAGACCTGGTCATCACGTCGCGTCACGTACTCCCCGGCAATTATTCTCCTGTAACAGCAAATCGGCATTAATATTTATTACACATTAAAATTAACTAATGCAAGCTGGCAGAACGGCCTACCAAGCACTAATTAATAATAAGGTTTTATTGCTTCGTTCCACAAAGTCGAGAGGAATAAAATAATTACCTGGGATAGATCTTAAGTAAATTTTGCGTGTCTATTCGGCTTGACTGTTCGGTCACAATGAATCTTCCGAATTTTATCGGTGCGTTTCTTTCTTCTTCTGCTCTCCCCACTCTCATTACGCCGACACCTCCACCTTGGGGACTCACTCACAAGTGTCAAAGTATGACTACGAGAGCTTCAGATCACAGCGCTCTGTGATCCGTCGATAACATAATGAGTGCGGATAAAAGGGGTTTTAACGGGTAACGATCACTCCGTTACAAGTCAAATATAGAACTAGATTTCGAATCGATAACCAGTTATTTTTTTAAGACAAAATAAGTCAAATTTAAGGTAATGAAATAATTTAAGCCAACAAAAGTTAAATTAAAGGAAATTAAACAATTTAAGTCAAAAAAAAGTCTAATTTAAGACAAAAAAGTTAAAAAAAAGTCAAGATTAAGTCAATATTAAGTCAAAAAAGTTTAAACAGTTAAAATGTGGAATACAGTTATCGGTATATCGACGACTTCAAAGGAAATTAAGTTAAATCAAGTCAAATTTAAGATTTTTTTTTACTCGGGCGTTGAGCAATTTGGAGCGCTCGCGTATTTCCGGGAATAACTTGAAAATTTAGACTTGGATCATTTTCGTGTCGCTAGACCTTTTGAAGAAGACTAAATTACGAACCTAGCAATATATGACTTGATTAAATCCGATACACCGTCTTAAAGTTATGGAAGGTCGAACCAAAAAGTGATCAACTAGCCCCGCCCTACCCTATGTAAGGATTATAGAAAAGTCATAAGATTATTATTTGAAAATTAGTATTGATCGTGAAAGGTCTACGAATTAAAAATTTCTAATCAAATTCAAAAAATTAATGTGAATTTTCAATTATTCAACATTCTTATTTATTATCATAATTACACTCGCACTTAAAAAAAAAAAGTTGTTTGTTGCATGATTTATTGCAATTTTTTCCGGTTTTTTGCAATTTTTTCAAATTTTGACAGCTCTACAGGCTAATTAACGTTTAGATTCTGATTCAATGAATTGAAATACATAAGAATCATACTTGATCCGGGTCTACAAAAAATTTTTTCATCGCTGTGACTGTAGTTTTCACAATTATTTGCCTTTTTTTTTGGGTTTTTTACATTTTACTCAAATCTGGAGGGTGACCGGACCAAACGGACTTCAAATTCGGATTTAGCAGGTCGAAATACATGTTCGTAGGTGGGCCTGGTCAAATGCTCAAACATCTTTTTTTTTGTGTGCCGGTGTTATCTGTAAGTATTTATAAATATTTTTTTTATCCTGCCTAGGCCCAAAATTCGGATTCTATCCATTCTATCTGAGACCCAAGTGATACATTCTATCTGAACAAAAACAGTTTCACTGTAATAAATTGCGCCAAGTACACGTTCACAACTTTTGATTTACCAAAATACCAATGAGAAATTATCACTTTACAAAAAGACGTAAAATCAAAAAAAAACAGACCAAGTAGCCGTTATGATTTTTAATAATTGAAAAAATTTTGTAGTAAATTTAACAATTAAAAACAATTTTTTCAACGTACTTGGCGTGCGTCATTGAGTACCCCAAATTTTTTCATATCTGATAACTAAGGCCAAAGAACTTATGTGAAAAGTAATTTTAGGGACTACAATTCTTTCAGCCCCTCCTCACCAAGTCATTGACCCTACTGATGATTATTTTGATGCAACCATATGAATCTATAAGTTTTGAACATCTCGATCAATCGAATCGAGATAAGTGGCAATACAAAAAGTATCAACGCCATTAAATTTGGTGAAAATTTAAATTGATTCGGTTCGCTAAATTTTGAGAAATCTCAAAAATAAAATTTTCAAAAAACGGTTTTTTAGAATAACTTTTAAACGACTCCACGAGTCAATTAAAAAAACTCATCCGCTCTTAAACTCAAAATACTGCGTCTATTGCCGCCAGTCCCGTCAAAATCAATTGATTCTTTTGGGAGTTATCAAAAACGAAAAATTTCGAAAAAAGTGATTTTTTTACATAACTTCATTTCTTTTTGGATAGTTTTTGATGAAAAAAAAAAATAATTAGTGAAGGATGATGATTAAAATTAAATTTTTCTTGACGAGAGAAGAAACTGGATTC